ATTTGGCATGCAGGTAGATATTATATTGTAGGCATCCGTTAAGAAAGGATTTTGATTAATTCCCCCCAATTACTCCCAAGGGGATAAAATAGGGGATGAAAGTTTGTATGAAACTTTGTCAATTTTAAACCGATCGGGCTGAGACTTTGCATGCATTAAGCTACTATGACGTAGGCATCCCCTAAGAAAAGATTTTGATGAATTCCACCCCTAATGGGATAAAATATGGGATGAATGTTTGTATGAATCTTCTTAGATTTTCGACTGATTGAACTGAAATTAAAGATTAGAGCTACTATGATGAAGACGTTCGCTTAAATAGGATTTTGATAAATTCAACCCCCATGGGGACAAAATAAGGATAGATGCAGGATTAGTTTGAACCTATCAGTACCTAATAGAATGAATAAATTAAGACGAACAAAATATTTTTTAGTTCTTTAGGCTACTTTTATTTTAGAAAAATAAAGTTAAAATCAAAAGATATCGTTAATCTTGCTAAAATAAAAAAATAACCTTAATCGTATGCCGTTGACATTTTATCCAGCGCCATCTAGTCGCTAAGCAGAGCTTATGTTCTAATCTTAACAACTGATTTATAAATATATTATATTTATAAACTGAAATACTGCTGCTGATCATCTGGATGAATGGCGGTCTTCCACAGTGCGGTTTTCTAGAAACTTTTTGCCTCGCACAACCACTTTGTGGAATCACCTTCCAGCAATGGTATTTCCGAACCGATATGATATTGAAACCTTCAAGAAAAGAGCTTATTCCTTTTTAAAAGGCCGACAACGTACTTGCAATTCCCCTGGTGTTTCGGGTGCTCATGGGCGGCGGTAATCACTTACCGTCAGGTGAGCCGCATGCTCGTTTGTCTCCTGTGTTATAAAAACAAAATGCATTACATAATCAAATATAAAAAACATCCAGACCAAACAAATCATATTCATAAATACAAATGTATCGCGCGAGGAATTGAAACCGCGATCATCTGAAGTAAAATAGTGTGCTACATCGATAGTTCACTGAATATATAATGAATATTTAATAATAAACTCTTCAAAGCCTAAACTTCAACCGAACTTAGTAATTGTTTTAAAGTTCAGCTCAAAAATTACACAATAAGAAAATAATTTTATATGAGAATCAGTTTACGTCGTGATCTTTCATACAGCTTAACGATTTGTAGCAAATTTCCACCTGGATTGAGCAAGGATTACATAAAGACTAATATACAGCAGTTGGCCGCGTATTACAGCCCGGATGTACCATTTACAGTACAAGATTTGAAAAACATCGTGTATCTACTAGACTACAATGATATTGACATAGATTCTGCTGCTAGAAGGTTGACTATGTCTTGTGAAGAAACAATATTAAGGTAAGTGTGAATAAAGCTGCATTTTTATACAACTATTCAATAAAAAGTGATAATAATTGTACAGCATTTTTATTTTTCAAAAGTGTTTTTTTTTATTTATTTAAGTTAAGGTGCTTATAACACTTACAGATAAAGCAAAGCGTGTAGTGAGTAATATAACATAACGAATAATGTAATTACATATAAATGTATTTATTTTACTTTTAGACTATTACGTAATATAAAATTTTGTGATTGTTACTTTTTGTTTTCATGTATATACTTTTTTATTTTTTCTTTCTTACATAATATTATTATTATTTATTTGCGTAATATCTGTTTTATATTTTATTTTATTATTTGTTATTTGTGTGCGTCCGTACTGTGTGGGCTCAACGAGAAATGAGCGTTAGAAACTATGTTTCCAGCATCATGCTGAGTTGTGGTCCACATTGACTGTTTTTTTTTATGTTTGTAATTATGGCTTGTATATTCTATGTAATTATTGTTGTGCTTGACACCACACGTCAATAAAATATATTGTATTGTATGTACATTTCCCAAGAGGATTCACAAATAAATTAAAAGTATATGTCGTATTTACATCATCATCTGCTTCTACCTGATCCCATTCATTTGTGCAATATATTTTTCGGTTTCATTCATCCCTGTTCGCAATCATCTCGTTATTTACTCCCTTTCTTGGCATATCATCTTTCACACAGTCCAGCCATTTCTTTTTCGGCCTCCCTCTGCGCTTATGACCATCCACATTCATATCTTTTTCAATACATAATATAATGTATTCAAAGAATGTTGGGAAAAGAGAACAAATCAGATAATGGTATATTGGCTACAGATTACAGTACGTGGATTTTCAAGGATAGGTTAGGTTTCTTAGGATTCAGCAAAAACGTGACACCCCTAGTGTTTCAGGCGTCAATAGGGTACGGTAACCTCATTATCATTATTATTATTATTATATATATATATATATGTTTTATATATGCCCCTTTTTACAGGGGTAATACTTTCAAACACGCGGGCCTTAGCCAAGCGTGATGATGAGTTTAAAAATTATATGAGGATGATGAAATTGAAGACAACAGAAATTTCCGTACAAAATTCCGTACAATTGTACGGAAATTTCTGTTGAGAATGACGACTTTTCGTAATAGGTCTATTGTAGAGGAGGGGATTTGCAATGTGTCTAGGTGTTTGCTAAGACTGTTTGGTATAATTCCTGTGGATGACAAAACTATGGGTACTATATGGATGGTGTGTGCTTTCCATTGTTTTTTTAATTCTATTGCTAGGTCTGTATACTTTGTTAGTTTTTCATTGACGGTACTTTGTATATTGTGTGTGTTTGGTATGGCTATATCTACAATAAATACTTTTTTGTTAATTTTGTCGTGGAATGTTATGTCGGGTCTATTGTGATGTAAGGTTTTGTCAGTAATTATTGTTCTATCCCAGTATTAGTCTTATTATGTTTTTTTACAGGTGTCGCTATTTAGAAAATATGGTGAACTGTTCGTCTGTCTTCAATTTGGAAATTACCGGGTACGGTTACGCCTGCGTGTTTAATGGACGATCCTTGTTGAGGTACTTCTACATTTATATGTACATCGATATAACCACTTGACCGGACTCTCACTTTTGTTGTATTCATTCTAATCTATATAAATAAATTAAACTGTCTTGTGTCTGTTTGTAATTTGAAATTATCAGCTTTTTACTAAATGCATGTGAATGTATATACGGTATTTACATTAAAATAATAGTTTTAATATTATATATTATTTAATAGTTTTAAAGAAATAATTTACGCTAAATTTTGAAATATGCATATCTTAAAACTTTGTCTCCATTTACTACCGATATTGGATCGACAATATTTACATAAACGTACAAAAACTCAAAAATATGCTATACCAAATCTGAACTCACACACATTTGAGACACCCAGTATCTTAGAATGGGACAATCTATTTTCCAAGTCATTACCTGAAGGACACTAACTTATTCACCTGGTTTTTAGTGAGATACAAAAATATGGAATACATAAAGTTAAACCCAAGGGCGTATATTATTCACTGAAGATTGGTTTCAAGAACAGTTTGATGATTGTGGTGAACCAAAGCTCCGAAATCCGAGATGGTAATGTGGACCTCTCTTATAAATGGGTAAGAAGGATTTTTTTTTTATAAAACAATAATAGCAAACAAGTTCATGGCACATCACCATCATATATATATACATGTACATCACGGATATCACATTATCATGCAACACCTATAGTCTCGTGCGTTGATACTCCGAAAGACTAAGATGCTTTACTCTGTCCTTTACTTTTACTACCTCATTTCATCCTTCAACCGAAACAAATCAGTCCACTGCAGTCCACTCCTGGAAATAGGCCTCTCCCAAAACGCCCCACTAGGCACTATCTTCAGCCCTTCTCGTCCAGTTATTGTCCGCAACCATACGTATGTCGTCGCTCCACATAGCTGCGGGGCGTCCTAGCTACGTTTGTCAGTTCGCTGTCACCACTCTATAACATGTCTACTCCATCGACCATCGGTTCTATGATAGATATAAAAGCAAGTATAGAAAGTAAACATTAATGGCTATAACTGAAATACCTTCGTAGACGACTTCTTACAAAATCTACCTCGGTACAGTGTCTGCATTATTATTTATGTAATTTTCTACCATATCTTACTTCAAATCTGTAATCAATTTTCAAAATAAGCAATTAGCAGTATTTTTATTAAAGTTTTAGTATCAGTCGCAGACATTCTATAAAACACTCCCATTTAGTTTTCTTCCGTCGAAATTAATTTGTTAACTTTCAGAAACGGTTCCTTTTAGGTGTCTATCAGCAGTGGTCAAAACTATGTCGACGCCCCTTTAAATGGTACACCAGTGTCACCTGGTCAAGAAATGTGGGTTCGACACAAACTCAAAGGTTTCCAAGTGACTAATAATGCCAAAAATTTGGACCCTATACGACGTGGCTGTCGTCTTACTGAGGAAGGACTGAAATTATTCCCTGTTTATCATAAGTATCATATTTTATTGTCTACACTTTTTTTTTCTTGTAATTAAATTGGCAAACTAACTGAGGCTCATAGTGTTAAGTGATAACCATCGTCTATATACATGAACAACATATTTCTGGGAATCTAAAATATTACGGTCAGATGTCTGGCCTCAGATGGACCACCGGAAACAACTTTTTAGAAAAGTTTCGCGGTATGTATCTTATATTGGGGCTGGAAAAGAAATAAAAACATAAGCAGCGTCACAAAGACCACGGAATACACTTAGACGTCCGTCGTACTCCTTCTGATTTGTCATGTCATTAAATTGTTTGATTTTTTTTATTTAATTAAAAATTTCGGTTTATTGGATGTTTGACCCGTTCGATTGGCACATTTGGTTATTACGTTCCTTAAGATCCTGTTTCGATTGGCGCATTCCCAAAGAGGGTAACCAATGCGCCAATCGAACACGTCAGCACCAACCCTAGGTCTGAATTAGAAAATTTGAGCCCCCTCTAAATAATGAGATTTTTTTAATGTATGTCTATTTTATACGTAGCAAATACTGCATTATGGAATGCGAAATGAGGCGTGTGATGCGACAATGCCATTGCGCAATGCTGGCGTATCCAGCTCTCCCGAACGTGGTACGATGCACGCCTGAACTTCTGGATTGCGCCAAATATGCCGCAGGTATCTATAGAACAACTTTTCTTTTTGTTAGTGTGGTAAATCTTTAAGAACCCCCACCGATTTAGGACTCGACTGCCTGATTCTTACCAGCTAAAAACCTGATGGCTACTCCTTCACAAATATATCGCCGACGCCATGGGTATGCTTTCGCAGTTGCCCAAAACTCCGGTCTGATTTATAGAATAACTAGTTGACCCGACAAATATTGTTTTGCCAAGTATATTAATATCGCTATTAAAAATAGGGGTTTATGGTAAAAGAATTAAATCGATGAAGAATATAAATTAGATTCTATTTTCCGCAATCCGCCTCTCTTCTGATGATATAATATAGGAAGCAGATGATATACCGATCCCAAATAGTGGAATAACTGATGAGCGATGGTTGCCCATTATTTCTTGTACACCTGATTGTTATTGATTAATGTGAAATCCGAACGGATACGATATCGAAATCTTCAAGAAAAGAGCATATGACCGTAATCAGATGGGGATTTCCCGAGGAGTTGCTTGTACTCATGGGTACAGGCAACACCTCGGAAAATCCTCTGCAGATGAGTCAGTGCAGATCCTTCTCTTTAGTCATATGTTCTCTTGAAGATTTCGATATCTTATCCGTTCGGAATCACTTATGCTGGAAGTCGATTACCCAAAAATGTATTTGTTCCACATGGAATCCACAGTACAGTACAGTATTATCTTTAAAACTAGAAATCATAGAAAAACCACTCTATAGCTTTAACTTTAAAGTTTAATTCATTAAATCTGTACTTTTTATTTGACTTAATGTTATATTAAGTGCGATGCATGTTTTGCAGCTACTTTGAATGTAAAAAAATGCAAATGCCTACACACTTGCAATGTGGACAAGGAATTCCCCACGTATTTCAGCAACCGGTTGATTCCAGGCAGTCATTCTCACGATAGCTTTTAGTAAGTAGCGATTTCTTTTAAGCCAGCGACCTGCCCTTTCTACTTCGCATATTTCTGTTTTTATTTATTTATTCGTTTTGAATAGGTTACTTTCGTAACGTGATATCTGTAGTACCGATAATTCATGTACATTAATATAAATTGTCAATTATGGAGACGGTCAGAATTGAACTCACGTCCTTACGACCTTAAACCCCCCTTATATGTTGTGTATCACTCTTTTTAAATATTATTATGTGTAGTATGGTTATATATAATGTTGGTAAAATTGAATTTTGTATTTATAAATAACCTTACTGTCGTCTATTTACAATATTCATTTTCCGAGAACAATATTTTTTTCTATACCATTCTACTTCTTGTAAACGAGGAAAACAAAATAGATTAAATATATATCTTATCTAATTATTTTACACGTGGAATCTCAAAATTCTGATGTGTATTTATATAGTTGCTACTATTATATTTCAAAATCTGTATATGTATATATAAAAGAAATTTACAGAATATTTCTGTGCAAAACCGCCAGCCTCTGTGGTCTAGCGTTTTAGCCCACGGCTTTATTTCCGATGGTCGCGGGTTCGACTCCTCGCATGGTACAAACATTTCACACCATGACTATAATTATTTGTATCGGTCTAAATCAAAGTGTTTCATTTATAATATTTGTATGGTCATATGTGTAAATTAAAAAACAACATAAATATTTACCAATAATAATATTGCCTGGACATTTTACTATCAACTGGTTTTCCCAAAATGATATGATATGTAGTATGATGTGATATTGTGTGTTATCATATTGTGTGATATGATATGATATGGTGTGATATGATTGTAATGTAAAAAAATATTCTTTTTAATGTTTTATATATTTTAAATTTCTCTTTTTATTTAATGTTTAGTCGATCTGGTATGTTTTTATGAAATCAAACTAAAATATCTTCATTCATCTGGGTCGATGGCAAATCTACTCTACGACGAACTGATCTGTAATAGTTATTAACATCTGGCAATTCTTTTGTTTCCTGCAATACAGGTTCACCTAGTGCGAGGTCCAATGTATAATCAACTTTATATATTTCAAAATAAATTCATAAAATGATTTAGTGTGATATTAAATGGTGTGATATGTTATGGTATGATTTGATATGGCGTGATATGTTATGGTATGATATGATATAGTGTGATATGACATGGCGTGATATGATATAGCGTAATCTGATTGTATAAACTCCCGCAGCGATGGCTTTGATTTGACAAAGGTGAGCGTGGTCAGACTATTTGTGCTGAAACGCAAGATAAATGCAAGTGAACGCCACGCCGTCTTCAGCGAGACTGACTTATTTTGTAAGTATAATCAATACAATTAAATGCACATCGCCTTACTTCTTATGGTCGCGGATTCGATTCAAAATTCAAAATTCAAAAATCATTTATTCATGTAGGACATTTTAGCCGCTTATGAACGTCAAATTTTTACATTATAATTTTATTTTTTCCCTACCGTCCACGGGCAGTATTTTTTTTTCATGTTTTTTATGTTTTATTCATGAATATGATTATTTGGTCGGTCTAGATTCAGTTTTATGAGTGTCAGTAACTACGACATCTATACATATAAATAAAATTGGAGTGTCTGTTTGTAATATTGAAATAACCGTGTTTTACTACATGCATATCAATATAAATACGGTACATATACCAAAATATCTTTTTTTACCATTTTTGTCTGTCTGTTTGTTCCGGCTAATCTCTGGAATGGCTGGACCGATTTTGACGGGACTTTTATTGGCAGGTAGCTGATGTAATAAGGAGTAACTTAGGCTACTTTTATTTTAGAAAAATTAAGTAATGTTGCAAATTTAATAACCACGCGGACGAAGTCGCGGGTACAGCTGGTAATAAACAAAATAAACAATAACACTAACTACGAGAAGTGTAGCTTCCATATTCGGTTATTTCATTCATTAGATATTTAATTACTTTTGTTTTGTATTAATGAATTGAAAGAAATATATGTCATTTAAATTAATCCCAAAATCAGCTTTTGTATGGCCATATGTATTATTGTAAATACAAATTGGAATGCTTTGTAATAAGGTTTCAAAAACGGGCACTGTTGATGACTCGTAAATAAAATGAGTAGTGGATTGTAAAATATTATATTTAATACAAGGAGTTATAATATTACAAGGAACATTATCTAATTAATAAGGTACGCGTGCGGTGACGTCGTAGGGGCAAGGCAAAGTGAAAGGTGTCCCGGCCTAGCGGCTGTCAATGGTTCATGTTTGATAGCGGTCGAACAGGCGCCGTAGATACTGTATAAATTACACACCTAGTAATTTTATTCTTATTAATAAATTACTTAATAAATTTCATTTGATTTATTTCCAGCCCAACTCGGCGGAGCTTTCAGCTTGTTCTTCGGCTGTAGCATACTCAGCTTGTTGGAAATCCTGCAAATATTCCGACATTGGTTCCATGCAAGAAAGAATACTGGCATTGTATCTACCAAACTAAAAAACAATAAAAAACCCTACAAAAAAAACGAAACTAAAACTAAAAAGAAAGTTAAGTTTTCGACGTAAATTTGCTTTGTTTTGATAAATAATATAACTTCACGACAGTTTCAGAGAGAGTAGTCAGAGACGTTATCAACTATATATATGTATATGTGTATATTTCAATCCAACGAATACTGTAGTATACACTCAGGCGTCTCCCGTACATCTTCTACATTGCCTTTTCTTTTCTTCTGCTCATCACCAGAGCACCAGCTTTCCGAATGAGCGGTAAATTTAAAAAAAATGTTGACTATCCAAAAGTGCTTAAATTAAGTTTATTTGAATAAACGATTTTCTATTCCATTCTATTCTAGGGACTAAACTATTTAACTGATTTTAATTTATTTTTTATATAACGAAATATAGTTAACTAGCTTTTGCCCGCGGCTTCGCTCGCGTTAATTTATCGCCTTAGGGGTGGAATATATCAAAATATTTTATTAGGGGATGCCTACGTCATAGTAGCTTTATGCATGCCAAGTCTCAACCCGATCGGTTTAAAATTGACAAAGTTTCATACAAACTTTCATCCCCTATTTTATCCCCTTAAGGGTGGAATTTATCAAAATCCTTTCTTATCATAACCTACGTCATAGTAGCTTTATGCGTGCAAAGTCCTAGCCCTATCGGTTCTAAATTGAGAAAGTTACATACAAACTTTCATCCCCTATTTTATCCCCTTGGGGGTAGAATTAATCAAAATCCTTTCTTAGCGGATGCCTACGTTATAACATCTACCTGCATGACAAATTTCAGCCCGATCCGTCAAGTGGTTTGGGCTGTGCATTGATAGATCACCATGTCATTCACCTTTGAGTTATATATATATATATATATATATGTATATAGAAGATGTACGCTCACACATTATTTACCGGACGACTACTTTATACGACTTTCCTTCGATTGGCACATATGATTACAACGTTCTTTACAATCCCGTTCCGATTGGTGCATTTCTAAAGATGACAACAAATGCACCAATAGAACGTCGGCATTAGAGTTCATGATTTCTCGAGCTTTTCAATTTCTCGGGTCTCGAGAATTCTCGAGGTCAATTTCTCGGGTCTTCTCGGGTTGTCGAGAAATTTACATTTACGTACGTTTTCTCATATTATTTGGTTCCAATAACGTCAAAAAACTCAGTGGTTTCATTTGAGACGAAAACCACTGCATTTTTGTTAAATATTAAATATAAAATTTAACTATAAAATTAATTATAAAACTTTTGATTGAGTAGGTATATTTAAAAACATTATACATATTATGAATAAGCCATTTTTTTTTAAATACTGAAATATATTAGGTTCTTACATATGAAATTAGCGTTTTGTCGAACTGGCCACTTTGATCTTAAATATCTCCTCTTTGGTTAGAAATTTCAATTTCAAATTTATACGGCTATTCACCCATGCATTTGTTTTTCGAAAACCGTAATACGTGTGCTTGGTTTTTTCTTTGGGTCACTCAGCTTACAAAATGGAAAACTTAAAATATCGCGTCATTTACAAGTACAAGTACGTGTTCCGCCATGGCACTAGTACTGCAGAAACGGCTCGAAGGATTAATGATGTGTATGGTGGTGGTGTTGCAAAAGAAAACACAATGCATTTTTGGTTGCAACGTTTTCGTTCTGGAAATTTCGACCTGCAAAACAATCCCCGTGGGCGGCTGGAGTCCAAGGTTGGTAATTATGATAGCAGATCCATCGCAAACCACGTCAGAGTTAGTTTCAGGTTGCGGTGTTAGTGACAAAACTGTATTAATCCACTTGTAGCAAATTGGGAGGGTGAAAAAGCTTAAAAGGTGGGTCCCTCATGAACAAATTAGAAGAGATTCAATTGTAATGTAAGACTTTACAATTGCTCCCCGGATCTTGCTCCAACAGATTACCATTTTTTTCGAAATTTGGATAACTGATTGGGAATAAATTGAAATCCGATGGGGCAGTCCAAAGTCCAAAGATTTTATTGATATGTCCAAATGTTCTCGTTCAAATCTTTTTTTCAGTAAAGGGATCAATGAATATTGTACCTCATAGGTACGAGATGGCAAAAGGGCATAAATAGCAATGGTACATACATTATTTAAATTATTAACCGGGTCTTAACACGAATAATTTTATGGAAAATAAAGGTATTTACCTCTCTCGACGTTTCGACTAGGTTGCACTAGCCGTGGTCACGAGCTGACTGGAGTAACAGCGATGTCAATGTAGATAGGTGACAGCAGTTTTTTCTTCATCTACCGTCACTAGACTGTTTAACGAAAGTTCGCGACACACAGCACTCACGGTATACGTACACTTATTGACTATTGATGCTACTGAACTTTGCTTGAATTTATTTATGACTGGATTCCACGCAGATGATAATTTTAAGCCATCCTCTCTGTTGAAATTGGGATGTTTTTTAATTTCAATCGCCTCCCGGACCATTCGTGGGTAATAGTGGCGATCAGTAGAGAGGACATTAGGCGCATGTAGTTCAATCCAGTGATGTGTTCCAGCGTTCAGTAGATGATCGGCAATCGCTGATTTGTGTGGTTGTCGATTTTTAACCGCTGCGATGTGCTCTTTGACTCTCTCGGCTATTGATCGTTTTGTTTGGCCAGTAAGAGCTACCACAACTACAGTCAATTTTGTAGACACCTGGAGCTTCGTAAGGTAGCTTATCCTTTGGTGAACGTAAATTGTTCGTTACTTTTGAGGGCGGATAATATACAGTTTTAATGGAGTATTTATTTAGTGCTGTTCCAATTTTGTCCGTTATTCCTCTTAAGTAAGTCATATACGCTGGCTGTCTGTTCACTTCCGGTTTTTTAGCTTTTGTTACGCGCTTATTTTGCCTTCTACTCATTATGTAACCGTTTCTCTTAAGTACTTCTTGAACGTGGGATAGTTCTTGTTCCACAAATTCAGGGGCACAGAGATCTTACGCTCTGTTTGTGAGAGTAGTGACGACTGATTGTAAATGTCGTGGGTGATGATGTGAGGAGGCATGTAGGTATCTATCTGTGTGTGTAACCGAGCCATCAGATCTCACCATAACTAGGATGTCCAAGAAGACCTATCTTTCTCCAATTCCATTGTAAATTTGGTTTTAGAATGTATGGAATTTAGGTATTTTACGTATTTGTCTGCTTGTTGTGTATTAAATATGCAAAAAACATCATCTGCATATCTTTTCCACAGGCTAATTTCTAATGTCTGAGAGCAAGAATCTTTGTCTCAATGTGCTCCATCCAAATATTAGCTACTAATGGTGCCACTGGGCTCCCCATTGCAAAGCCATCTATTTGAAGGTAGTATTCACCTTGGTACAGAAAATAGCCTGCATCTAAGCAATGTTTCAGAAATACACTATACTGTGACGGCAGGTCTTTCTCCAATAGCCTATCCTTGACCACCTCCATGCACTCATTCACTGGAACATTGGTGAATAATGATTCAACGTCAAAACTCACCATTATCTCTGTAGGTTCCAGTTTTGTGCTTTTTAGTATGTCCATGAAATGGTGAGAATTTTTCACAAAATTGGATGACTTACCCACTAGTGGCTGCAGGATCTTCGCAACATGTTTAGCCAGATCATAAGTTGGTGAATTGATCTGACTAACTATTGGTCGAAGAGGGGCGTTCTTTTTGTGTATTTTGGGTAAGCCATATAATTTTGGTGGTTGAATATGTTTGGCCCTATAAAGACTGTTATACTCCTCTTCAGTGAAAATGTCACGGTGTTCTTGAATAAGTGCTCGTGTTCGACGTGTCACTCTGGCCGTTGGATTGTAGGATACACGTTTGTATACACTAGTATCTGATAATAGAACACGTATCTTACTATCATAATCAGAAGTGTTCTTTACTACGGTAGCGTTACCCTTGTCGGCCTTGAGTACCAGGATATTCTCATTTTCACGAATACATTTCAGTGCATATCGTTCTTCGGCTGTTACGTTACTTTTTGGCAGCTTTGTCTTCCTGTCTGAGACAGGACGTAGCAAATATCTTATATTTGCTACGTCCTGTCTCAGTGATTCCGCGTCATTATATGGTATTTTATTTCGGTTGATAGCTTCTTAAGACCCGGTTAATAATTTAAATAAAGTATATTAAACACGAAAGTTTAAAATTAACAATGGTACATAGTTTGAATAAATAAACATGTTATATTTTGAAAAAAAAATACTTCAGGTTACTCCCTTACAAAACACCGCTTTCATATGTTAGGACCTAATATTATTCAGACTTATATTTATAATGACAGCACTATTTTTGGCTGGTTATTTAGAAAAAATCTACCTTAAACTTGTAAACAAAAATAGTTTCTGTAAAACAAAAAAAAATACATGAAAGAAAACCTTAATATCTTGTATTATTGCGCCGCCACGCAATACAACAAACGGCAATTTAATTTCTATATAGGTACTTGATTTCTCGAGTTCTCGACTTTTCTCGAGCTTGATTTCCCGGGAACAAAACCCAACGATTTCCCGGGAATTCTCGACCCGAGAATTCCCGGGAATGAACCCTAGTCGGCATCAGCATGGATCCCATGGTAGATGGCTCCAAGGGTCTCTCTTGGTTTAATTTAGTTAAACTACCCATATCTCTATCAAGAAAGACTAGGTCGATATAAATTAATAAACAACTTTATAGTGTCATCTGCACTCGCCTCTTATCATCCGGTGAAACTGTAAATAGAAGCTGTGGCCAAAAACATTAAATATTTTTTTATAACACAGAAAACAAACGAGCTTACGGCTAGCCTGATGGAGAGTGATTACCGCCGCCAATAAGCACCCGGGCAAGCCATTTCAGAGATTAGCCGGAACAAACAGACAGACAGACAAAAATTGAAAAAAATGTTATTTTGGTGTATATATGCATGTAGTAAAAAAACTGTTATTTCAATATTACAAACAGACACTCCAAGTTTATTTATATGTATAGATGTATAGATAAAAACTTGGTACGTTACCAATTACAAGTGCGTTGCAGGCCTTAGAGTAATCCGAGAAAAAAA